TATTATTATTATTATTATTATTATGAAAACACGCGTCATTCGATTGCAATCGTGTTTTGCGGGCCTGGCATAAGCTTGAGTCTTGCCACTTCTATGCGAGAAAGTAATAGCTAGCTTTCACCTGTTCCCCTTAGTGCTTTAGATATGCTATAATTTTCTCGTGACTCTTACAAGCAAAATTCATTCAACACTTAGTTCGTCTTCGAGAAAGTGTGTTTATGATGTGTGAAATAATGTAAAATAAAGTTTATTGACGAAATATTCCGAGTTTAAACGATGAAAGGGAAGGTGTATGAAAAGCTAGGCCACGCACAAGAAGTCATTTCAGAGCATGAACTGAAAACCTCTGGCAGCGTTTTATAACAACACGCTCATGAATTGTGAGTAAGCACAGTCCTATGGCCTAGATTGTTTGTGTATCGTATTTTAGGGAGACAATATATTATCTAAAGATACAAAAATAATGAGAAAAGATAGATCTATTTCCCAAGTTCTCATCAGTGTAAACTTGAAACATTATACACATTCTGCCAAAGTGAAATACTAATTTTAAAATGAAATGCGATTTTAATAAAAGGTAATCTGTCTTGCTGGTATAGTACTCTTTTTGAGATAAAATGTTTTTAACTAATTATTTATTTTTCTTCGACATCCACCAGATTAAAAGCACTATTTATTTATTATAGTAAAATTAATTTGACTTCCTGTTTTTATCCAGCTTTTATAAATCCATCAGAACGTTTTTCACTATTATTGTACTCATTAGTCTTCATTCTTTGTATACAAAAATCCAATAGTGGCAAACATCTCCTTAAGTACAGTAATGAGTTGAGGTTTCAGTTTAGGAAATTGTCTACTCATTGTCAGAAATATATTAAAAAATAAATAAAATTATTTTTATGATTTATAGTAACGATGTTTCCTAATCTACGTTAAAGCAGGTTTTAGATGCATACATATGATGCTAGTTAATTTGTTTTCCCGTAAACACTAACACACCATACACACATATGTAAATATGAATTTCTGATGTGAAAATTTGTAATTTTTTAAATTGATTTGAAAGGTTAAATCTAATAAACTATTAAAATATACCTGTTAACCTTCCTATGGTTAGGAGAATTCAGATTTTTGTACTTCTAAAACTCCAAGAAGATAGAGAAGAGGCAAAACTTGACTAAAAGTTTTATGAAACGTACGTTTTGTAGTACAATTAAAATTTAGGAAAACCTAACCATTGCTGATTGTGGGGTCACAGAAATTCAAATATTTAAAACACAAAAGTTACTTTCAGTTATTCATTAATCCAGCTCTAATTACCGCAGCTCGTAAAATGCGCGCTACAAAATTACAAAATCACTCACAAGATCAAGATCGGCCTGCAGGTCAACATCTGAGGAATAAACAATTTTCTTACAAGTTGCCAAGTCTCGATCAAATACAAATTTTCTCGCTATTTATTTTGCTTGCTTTTTAACGAAAGTTTGCTTGATCTAATTTGCATTCTGGTGATAAGAGATTGAAGATACAGACATGAATTAACATAAGAAAAGATGTTGGCTCAAATGAACGTTACAGATTAAAGTACTAAAGTTAAATACTGATCTGGAAAAGTACCTGTTCACCTCGTACGAAATGTTTAAGAACTGTTTTCCTGTATATAACCAAATATGCTAATATAAACATATATTTGAAGGGAAAAACATCCTTTTTTCCCGTCAATTGTGTTTACATAGCATCCAATAAGGAGGCCTTTCACACTGCAATAAAATTATTGATGTAAGTTTTTGCTTAATATTATTAAGATACGTTTACAAATTCGGATATTTGCTCATTATTTCAATGTTAGAATGTTTCAATGAAGCTGAAGATCGGCATTAAAAAGATACTTAGAATAATTCAAATTAAGTTTTCTACAGCTGGAAAACTGAGCTATGTATTCAGAGAAAATGGAGGAATAAAACAATACCATAAATGGAAAGTGACAACAAGATATCAGTTTCAAACATTTTACAAATAATGTGGGATAAAACCGAAAACTTATTTGTCCTCAATAGCAGTAATACAATAGCAGATCAATGAGAATGATCTCTCTGTTCACCTATTCTGATATAGATGTACATCATCTAGAGTTCGTTAAGTAGAATTACGATCTTGACTGCACTGTAACTGCAAAGACAAAAGACCAGTAGATTTGGTCATAAAGTATGTGCGCGTGTTTAGATGCAGACATGCATTTTAGTAATAAATATACGCGCTTCTTCTTCTAACATTAATATTTTCTTTTAAATCTATTGTGTCATATGACAACGCGGTACTCATCCGTAATTTATGAAGTTTTGTAATGGAATGGTCAACAACTTGGATGATTTGGATGTCAAATTATTTCCACAGACTTTGAGGGTAGTCGTGAATTTAAGAACTGTTTTGAACCGTAGATATAAGAAGTTCTACTCACGAAATGCCACCTGAGTTGCACAAAGTCAAAAAACTTTCACATGTAAATAAATATACATCACAATAGGTATATGTACAGTATTTTCTACGCATATTATTGCTATTTACAGGTATAGTGTGGGAAAACTATAAGAGCTGTTCAATTTTTACTGTCAAATAAAGATCAGAAATCTATAACTTTTGATCAAGGTAATCTCGGATGTTTTACAGATTACTAGAATAACATTTAGAGATATATATATTTAAAATGTCTGCTGATTTTTGTTGTTATTTAAATATGGATTAGTTAACGTGATTAATTAATAAAATTACTTCTTTTCCCCAGGGTGCGGCTTGATTAATTAGAAAAAAAAATTTCTTTATATGCATGAAAAGGCAATCTTTCTGAGATAGTAATAGATATTCTATTATTAAAATTCAAATTCCAATTCCTCATACTTACAGATAGATTTAAGTGAATATAAAGCACATGAATACAGTTAAGATTTGTTTGAAGTTATATATAAAATAAATGATCTGATATAATTTGTTAGATGATTAATTCATTTTGAAGTTTATTAAAAGAAGAAATCTCAGTTCAGTTCTTTTAAATAAAAATCTAAGGAGAATAAAAACATTTTTGGGATTTTTTATAGTAATATCATATTTTATTATTCTTACATCTAATCTCTGTCTCCTGTATCTTGTACAAGTTTATTTTTTTAATTTGAATTTATAATTTAGCTTTTCGTCTCTCTTTCAGCTCTAAGGAACTTTTCCTTAAAATAAATACATTGTTATTTTATATATTATTACATCTATATACAGGAAATTAAGTAAGCTCTATATTTTTTAAATTTTTATGTTAAAAATTGATTTTTTGCGTTTTTTATGCAAAAAGGAAGAGAAAAATTCTAAAATGTGTTTTAAAATTTGCATTTTCATTTATTCATATGTACTGCTATATCTGGGTCATAGTTCTGTAATAAACTTATATTAATAATTTACAATGTACTTTAATTTCCTATTAATAACAAAACGAAAAATATATTAGATTACCTATTATATACTACATAATTCAGCTGCACTATGGTGTTGCATGAAATTGTTGCAGTTTCATGGTACATTGTATATCATTCTTCATATGTATATGCATAGTTATTGTACATGCATCTTAGAACATTCATACATTTGCTGAAATAGAACAACTTCTTTTTGCCTAAATTATTGCTTTTTGGATACTGAAAGAAAGAGAAAAAGTACAGAAACCTAATCAAAGAGACTTATTTTCTCCAAACTCTTTCTTTTGTTTTAAAGAATGCATTAAAATGCTAACTGTATAACTCATTTTGAGTGAATATCAAAAGAACCTAATAAGTGAAATTTAAGTAAGACATGTTTATAACATATACTTCATTTTTTATTAAAGTTATTTTAAGCTAAAAATAAGTACAACAACTAAATTCAGTTTTATATATTTTATTATCTAATGTCAAATGATTAATCTGGGAAAACAATTTGCGTTACTTCAATAGTAACTGGGTGCATAGGGTACTGTGCTTAGAATATCAAAGATAAGTGTCTTAACCATTAGATTGCTAATGGAACGTATATATTCCAAAAAGTTAAATAAATTGGGAGTTAAAAAGTTAAGTACAGAAGCATCGATATTAATTCTTCACTCGGTTCCCCGCAAATCAAGTTGCAGTTTGCATGAAAATTTTACACTTTTCTCTAAAAGTGATAGGAATATGAGAACCCCCCCCCCCCGCTTCCAAAAAAGAAGAGCTTTAAAAAATCACCCGCTCTTAGACGCACAGCCGTGAAATATTTCGTCATAATTAAACAGCAAATTAATCAAATAGAATTTGTATATTCTAAGATATTCGGATATGAAAACACATACTTTTTTAATACCTAGTCTAGCATGGTATATTACATTATTTGAAGCAAATAATATTAATATCAATACCTAGTCTAGCATGGTATATTACATTATTTGAAGCAAATAATATTAATATCAGAATTTTATTAATCTCTTATCATTGGAGTTAGGCTTTAGTCTTACCATCATTGGAGTTAGGCCAGTCTTACCATCTCAGCAATGCAAATCATATTTCCATAACCAAACAGATTGCTAAGATGGTATTGTCTATTTCGAAATCCACAAAAGGTTTTTTAAAAAACAAAACAGCAGAAATTGAAGTGTGAAAAATAAAGCTCATAGGAATTCTGAATTTAGATATGCATCTCCAAAATTTCTCTTATATTATTCTATAACTTTATTCGTAAGAAGAGTAAACTATTACTTTAAATTTCGCAATAATTAGGCATTTTATCATCATTTGAAGATGTAGTCACGCTAATAACAATGTCGTTCTCAGTTTAAGCAAATAAAACATGAAATTGAACATGAAAACGACAGCTGTGCAATTTGAAGAATAGATAAGAGAAGATAAGATGCTGCTTAGGCTTTTTGCCATCAGACATTCCGTAAGAAAGAAACTAGAATAGAAAGGTAATTATCATAATCGAAGTGCTCATACTGCTGCTCCTGTTATTTGCAAAAGTTTTATCTAACGGCAGATGTATTTGTTACTTCTAGTAAAATTAACAATACTACATAATTATTTATGTTTTAAAGTACTTGAAATCTCTCTGATTCAAAAAAATGTAAGGTGCTGAAGAAGAAATTCGAAATCGGTAATTGAGAGAAATAAAAGTTAGATTTGAAGTTCCTAGAAACTTCATCCGAACTGAATAATCAACTAGCTCAAAAATAAAGATTGCTTAGCTTAAAAGACTGAAACGAGATCATTCTATCATTGTTATAAATATTTAAAGGCGGAGAATGTTTCGCCTACAATGGAAATGAAACTTCATTATTTTAATGAGCAGCTGTATAATATTGTAAAAGGAAGAAAATCAAGTATGTCATGTAATCTCAACAAAAAACGTTACTCAGGCAACTATAGCAGTAAGTGAAATACATTCTTGTTGATTCGACTTATACGTTAACACTGACTATTTTGTTAAATCGTTATACAGCTACTATTAAAATATTTAGCAAATTAAAATTTCCTTTCATATAGTTTTCAACATTAAACAATTTAAACCACCATATGAATTACTTTTCAATATTTATTTTATTATTTTTTTATCTTCTATTAATGATTTTATCAAAATTTGCTTTCACTTTACTGTATTTCTTCTTTTTGATTTGGGCAAGAAAGAATTGTCTAAAATTAGTTTTCGTTATTCTAATTGTATATTTCCCACATACTGTGCCAATTGATATAAAGAGCAGACAGATGCTAATAATTATCAATTTCATAAAAATAGATTCAGTAGAAAATAACTCTTTTTATGATAATTCATTTATAAACTGAATTATGAATTATATATAAATTCTTTGCTTTAAATATATGTAATAAAAACTTTAAAGATATTATATGGCATTTTACGAAATAAATGTTATAAAATTTTTAATGAATAAAGCTAATATGGACTAAATGAAGTAAAAATTTCAGTGCTAATAGTGAAGTATTATAATTTTTAAACTATATTTTTATATTGATTTTAACGTCACTTTTTTACTTTTAATATTTTTTCATGGGGTTTAGAGAGTTTTAAAGCAATACAATTTAAATTTAATAAATAGCATTGCAACTCAATAAATAGCATTGCATAAATAGCGTTTGTGACTTTCATAACTCACAGAACTTGAAATTGAGAGTTTAAATTGAATATAAATTTATTTTCCTTATAAAACATTTTATTCTGTTTATTATTTATACGTTTTTTATCTTATAAATAACTTACATATTGTTAAATTAAATACTATGTAATATTAAAATATATCTTATTAAATACGAGGATATATATTTTATATATATCCTCATATTTAATAAGATACACATATTGCGTGTTTTTGAATATAAAAATATGAAAAAAAATTATTAATAAATTAAATGCAGTTGAAATGTGTGTGAGTGAAAAACGAAAATATGGAATAAAGTTATTAACAAATTAAATTTTATTGGAACAATTTTCTAACTTGACAATAGCCCTTTAAATTCTTTATTTTTAAAGAAATGCTTTCCTCATTAGTGTATGGACTTGTATATGGATTTCATGAGTGTATGGACTTGGGAGGTGCATATTGCACTCATTGTGCTATTTGATGTCTGCAGAATGCGCTTCCAAAGAATTGTTAGCTTCCAGAAAATAAAAGTGGATGTTATACCTTCATGATGACTATAACGGATTGCAGCTGCGTCGTTATTATATTGTAACATCATAGTCGTCCCCACCACGGCTGCGACAATTGGTTCTCTCATCACACCCTCTAAACTCATCATATGTATATATACATATGATGATTTGGGAATGTTGATTGCGTATATAACTATTGAATCATATAGAAAAGATTCGTAATGAAGAATAAACTTAAATATAAGAAAATGAGCAAATTTTAAATTTTCATTTTATTTTTATTGTCATTTGTGGCTGCAAATATCTTGACACATTAATCTTGCAAGCTCTAAAACATAGCACTTACATTTTTGGTATATAACTGCAATGGGAAGACTGCAGCAAGCAACAGTCAGCTAAGCAGAGACAGAGAAGCATATAAGAACACTTAACCCAGTGGACCAGCTGTTCTCTCAATGGCGAAAAGAAAGAAAGGCAGTGTACAGAACGACAAAAGCTATTTAAGCAGAGTATTAAAAGAGAATCGTAAAAAGGCTTTTATGAAGAACTCGACATTTTTAATGCATTCTTTAACGAGATAAATCAGTTTACTTTTGTTTTGCTCTAGCATTACACCTAATATAAATTCAGCTCTAAGGTATTTTCTCCCTTATTATCGCGTGCCTTCATGGCTTAATTGGATAGTACATCTATTTAACGTCTAGAGTCCAGTGTTCGAATCTCGGAGAGTGCATCGTACATTTTTCCTGGCTCCTAGATATCCATCTTAGTAGTTATCTTGGCTTTTTCTTCACTAACTTCTGTTAAGTTTTGGTTTGGAAAACACAGTTTTCGCAGCATTGGCTAGCAATTTAGACAATTCTTCAAATCTCAACAATCATATGATATGTCTTCTGCTTTTTATTTCTTTTCCTATGGCGGTACTCTGTTTTGAACCCAAATACAAATTCATGAAATGACCAGTTTCCGACCAGTTGACCGAAGAAACTTCGTGGTTGGACAGAATATACAACAACAATGGGAACAGAAAATATCTTACTGTCTGCGGAATCAGATTTCTCTGACGATCTAAAATTGATTTATTTAGTCCTGTAATATTAGCTAGATGTCGCTAAGAGTCAAGTTTAATTGTACAATTCGTATAATTGTTAATGTGCCGCAGATAAAATAAGAATTTTTTCTTTCATTATTCATAACAATTGCTAGTGCTTTTTTTCCAAATATTTAAATTCGTAATTTATATATTTCAACTTCGGCGACTTTAAAATAGTTTCGCGGGTACTGCGTTGCCGACCCCTGGTTTAGAGACTTTAATGAGCAAATTCAAAGTAATATTATTTCATCCCTTCTCAACAAAGACTGAAATAAATATATCTTTGGTGGTCACTGTTTTTGAAAATCATTGTTATATAAGGTATAGTGAATCTCTTCTGCGTGTGACCCACTTGAAGCAATAAAATATGAATTTGATATAAAACAGCTGGAATAAAATATTCATCAGTAGAATTTTTCTCAAAAGTAATTTTAAGTAATTTTGATTCTTTTTCTTGAATTTATTTCTGAAACCTTTGCACAAATTTGTTAATTAGTTTAAATAAATTTCTGCATTAATTAATTTAATTTCTTTTTTACTTCCTTGTACGAAGTAAAAAGGAAGTATTTTAATGGCGAAAATATCCATTTTGACCGCTACCGAATGCAATTTAACGATGTTTTTGCGTGATATCTGTTCCTAAGGACAGAATAAAATACTCTTTTCCTTCAAAAAAATTATAAAACTGCTTTAAAATTAATTCTGAAGAGAACTTTTCGTGGCGTCTGTACGAAAGTATGTACTTACGTGCGTACGTACGTACGAACGTATCTCGCATAACTCAAAAACGAGTAGCCTCAGAACGTTGAAATTTTGTATATAGGACTACTATAACATGCAGATGTGCACCTCGTATTTTGGTTGCAATCGACCGCACCAAACGTATATAAATATATTTATATATATATATATATCCACTCTGTTACCCGGCTCAGTAATCTCAGTTTCTTTACTCTTATATGTTTGTAAATTGTACATTTTTTGCTTTAAAAATGATTGTATTATGTTGTTTTTATTTTCCGGTTAAGGTTTTTATGCCTTTAGTAAATCTGTATGCAATATTTTTAGAATTATCAACAATTTTAAAGTTGTCTAAGTGCCGCTAAGCCTTTTTTAATGGCGGCCATTGATGTTTACATTTGAAACAGGAGACTAGTGGATTTGTTGCCAATCTAGAGAAACTTAGCTTCGCAACAACAAAGATAACGCATTCATTTATTATTGCCAATTAAATCATGCTTAATTCTTTCTGGAATTTTTTCGAGGAAATAAGCGTTTAAGATTTATCTCGTAATTTTTAATATAGATATTTTGAGTTTTTATGTATTTTTGCCTTCTCGCGAAGTGAGACTGAATTAATTAAATGAGAAATACTCAATCGTCTGTGAAAAACTGTTTCTTTTTTGTTTTGTTTGCTTAATTTCTTTTATACATCATTCTAGCTTTATTATAGTATTTAAATAGAACATGTGGCAACGATTAGAAAATTCTATTCTTTAAATGGTATAAATTTTGTGCATTATGAGTTATAATATGAACGAAATATATAATTTAATTGTTATATAATTATTGGATTATATAACAGTTAACTTAGTTTCCGTTATATAATTATTATATAAGTTAACTGTTATACAATTATTAATACTGTTAAGTGAATCTAGCGCCAGAGTGTCGCTATGGTAAACAAATACTAGAGTGAATTTTAAAGAATGCATTTATTCTATTGTGGTTTATGCGCTGTCGGCGAAGTAGATTTAATTCAATCCAATAAGTTTAAATAAAATGCAAGAAAAAATGCGTATAATTTAATATTCCAATACAAGGAAGTCATGGGGTGTACACATCAGATTTTTATATTAGAAACTAGTCTACCGACTAGTTTCTAATATAAAATATCACCAATACACTACTCAACAAATGAGGAGCAATGCATGAAAAAAACGTTCCGTAGACTTATGCAGATAACGGAAATGGTAGAAATGAGTGATATATGCAGATGATAAATTTGAGACTCATAGATCACAGCTGGTATTATATTAAAGAAGAGAAAACTTGTCGGATTTTAAAAGCAGTTTTAGAGTTTTAGGAGTTGTTTGAAAAGAAATATTCAATGGAAATGGAAGGTCTCGGAAGACATTGGCGCCGTGAACATACATGGTACAGGAAGTCATTACCTAGACTTTAGTACTACTTAGAAAGATAAATGCTATCAAGCTATATGATACAAGTTAACACAACCGCGTGGTTATTATCATTTGAAGAAAAATATATATGCAATATAGCTTTGCTTACTACTATAGAGTAATCATCAAAAAGAACACAGCAAGACGAAACTCAAAAAGGCACTATTCAATGAACTGACTTTTGCATTAGACTGTGTGAGATCTATCTTCAAAAATCAAATCTTAGTAAAACATTATTTGACAATAAATGAATGAAAATATAATCACATGAAAGCATACTCAAACGACGTCACTATCAGATATCGTTGTAAAAGATAGAATTACGAACTCAAAATCAGCAAATGTTCTTTAACTATCCGACAATGGTGCTTTAACTGGAGCAAATATGTTGTTGGGACTTATCTCACTTGTCTGAGAGTAACATCAAAATAAGTCCACGAAATTCATCGGGGCAAGGAGTGCAAGATTTCGCCTGTCGTTGGCGCAGCCTTGTATTGTATCAAACCTTAAGCACCATACAGATGACACTACTACTTTGCTCAGTTCCACCCTCAGTTTTGATGGAGAGCAATCCAAAGATAAGTGTCCAACTCGGCAATCCACAGTGAGCTTAAAATTAGTGAAACACATGTGCTATGTTAGCCGATATACTCTATGATAAAATTCCTGATGTGCAAAATAGCACCATACCAGTACTAAATTATGATGTCAATAGTCCTAAAAATAGGAGAAGGCAGCCTGCGGTCCTCCGCGGCCTAAAAATGTAAATCTTCATCTGTTGCATTGTTTACTGCATTTTAATTATGTCTTTTCTTTTACACCTGTTTATACATTACTGCTTCAGTTTCTAAGCTCACATTACACTAACACATTATTAAGAACAGTTTTTTTTTGTGATTCCGGCATTTCTTTTACATATAATTGTGCACTGTCTACTACCGTCATCAAGCATAAGTTGCAGTTAGGTGTAGTGTCTCATGCTCTCCGTCGGACTCATGATGTGTTCCTACCAAATGTGTTTCTTCTATCTTGCGATGTATTGCTTATTTGTGCTTCACGTGATATTTCGAAATGAACTATTCTTAGAAAGTCATAAATGTTCGACAATCAGCAATTAATTATTCCGAGATAGAGATAAAACGCGGATCTCATGCAAGTTTGCCACTCATCTTCCCCTACCACAGCCTCTCCAGAGGACTTTCTACTCGCCGCATATTTAAAGTATGCCGCACAAGCACTATACATTTACGAACACCCATGTCTTCTCCGAGATTCGAACCTGGACCCTTCGGTATCACAGTAGGCTTCCCTATCCACTATATCGTCTGGACGGCGGGGCAAATATGAAAGAACTGAATATCTCAATATAGACAAGTTTTCTATACTAACATCCCCCGCTTCTGCTTTCAACAAACATTTGGTAGCAGAACGATTTGGTGACTTCGAAGACAGTGCTGCAGTAATAATATATTAATCAGGAATAAAAGCGCACAAGCATTAGACCTAAATGAGTGGTATGGCATTTCAAATCGTCAATGGATATATCTAGCAGATATTACAGACAATTTGATGGCACGATGATATATCATTTTGATTACGGATCCTACGTTATCGCCAAAAATCCAAGAAACACTGAGACCGTTTTACAGTAGGATAATATGCAGTTACTTGTGGCTCACTTTAAGCACTTATTGCATAGTGTATTGTTAATGACTGTTAATATCTTAATATTCTGCACAGTCAAACTGATGTTGTTTTGCGTATCTCATTGTTTTCAAATGATCCTTCTTCAAGTCTATAGATTTTCATTCATCGTGTTGAGATTCGAAGGTAAGGTATATCATCTTTGTTTTAGTCTGTGATTATTATTTCATTTTAAATATGGGATATAATAGTTTTTCGAAGCTTTCATAATGTAGTTTGATCTACAATACGTCCATCCTTTTAATTTTAAACCTGTGCTATGTGTTTAATTTTGTGTTAATATATAAAATTTATTTTGTTTTAACTTTTAAGTGAAGTTGGAATTTATAAGTTTTCATAATTTTCTGTAAATATTAAATAATAATTAGTTACTTAGCTTTTACCTAAAATTTTTGACTGAAAATCAGAGTCTTTAAAAAAGCTTATAAGGTATTTTTCCCGCTTTCCTAGCGTGCTTTCGGGGTGTAGTGGTTCTGCACGTTGGGTCGGTATCCCGAGATCCGTGGTTCGATTCCCGGCGAAGGCGAGTGCTCATTTTTCATCTTGCCTGCTTTGAAAAAATACCTAATGTCTCTGTAAGCTGAAGTGTTAAAACTAATTCAGAGAACCTGTCGTCTTGAATAACGTTAATTTTATTATTCATAATGTTTTTCTTGTCGTCTGTTTAAAGCAAACAGGCAAAATATATCAAGACGCTATTGCATTATAATCTTCATAATAAAGAAATTTATATTTGCAGGTCCTTTAAAATCGGAGAAAGGTCCTAGACAGAAGATTTATTTGTACGTTTCTCTCATACTATGCACTGGAGTATTCATCTATTTCTATTCATACCCTCTAACTCAAAAATGGAATTTTATCAGTCCAGAAAATAATAAAGATCGGGCAATATCATCAACTGATCAGAAAAACTCTTATTATTCAAAGGAAGAGAATATAAAGCTAGCGGATGCAAAATTACGAGAGACAACAGCAGTTTCGCCAGCCCACTTGTTAACTAGTTCACATAGGCCAATTACAGTACCCCATAAAGGGAATTACTCTGAATATTTTATTACAAGGGTTGAGCAATTGAATTCAACACAAGAAACAAATAGCTTACCAATTTCAATACAACTGATATCCTCCAATCCAGCTGTATATTCAGAAGCACCGCTTCAAAGAATTTCTGTGATAAACAGTTCATCCACAGTTTCTTCTACAGCTAAGTACGATTTAAATACAAGTAGGATAAACGGTTCTTCGATAAAGGAAGAAGTAAGTTCTTCTGCGTCAAAAGAAAGTCTGTTGGTAGACGAAGAAGCACCAGTCCAAAAAGGATTCTTGGTGTTTTCCGAAAAATGTAGGATTCCAGATCTTGACCCGATGCATCCAAGTATTCGACATCTAGTGGATTATACTCCTCCGTTGAATTGTTCGGTAAGCTGTTGCTTATAATTTTTACTTTTTCAAATACCATTATGATTATTTTCTTTATATTTATAAATGTTATGTAGTTCTACATGAAATGCTAAGCATTTTCGACAAACATTTTAAGCTACTCTGACAATTTCTTACTGAATTTGTTTTCCAGTACACGGAAAGTGTGAGAAATTCGTTTTCATTTGCAAAATTCAGCACAGTCTAACAATCTTATTTATATTATTTCTGTTTCCTATGAAATTTGTTAAAAGCTTATTTTTAGGAAAATTATCTTTAAGTAATTCTGATTATTAAAAAGATCTGGGCAGTACACGCATCAGGTTGGAAGAGACAACACCAATATAAAATTTAAAATTAGACAAAAATGCTGCTTTAATTTTTCATAGATTTAGAGTTAATTTCCATCGATTCTGAGGGCTTTTTTTAAACAGAAAAAGCATTTGAGCTGAACTAAGATACTTTTTTACCTAATTCTATACTACACGCATGGTGAATGCAATTTTCTATTTTATCACACTTTCCAAAATGAGCCTTTGGAAACAGTGCAGTCATATTGCTGAAATCCGCAACTCACTCTCAAAGTATAACACAAAATTCAGGTAAAAGAATAATTAGTCTACTGCATTTTGTAATACTTATTTATTCTCAAGATAGTTGTCTCATTCCCTATATTATATGAGCTCTTTCATAGGCAAATCAAATTGGTACTCATGTGAACAGAATCAATGTTTTATTTATATTAAGAATCTTTCGTCCATTTAAAGAGTTATTCTGTCCTCATACAAACAGGACCTTCCATCGCAAACAAAAGATTTTTGTATCTCACAAGGATCCGTCCTTTGCTATTTTACTCTGGAAATAACGTATCTCGCACTGCAATATATTATATTCAAGTTCTGCTGTGTGAACTTTTGTGTGTTACTATTGAAGTTCCACGGCATCTAAGAAATTCTACGCGTTCAGTATGACCTTTAAAATAAACTTACTTAATATCGTAATCCGTACAAAACACTCATTTGTTTCAGAATATATCCAGATCTATAAATAAAAAAGCTTGTCTTGGGATTGACTCAAACATGTGAACATTCGTTCAAAAGACACTGCATCGCAATATGAAATGATAAAGAACTTTTCATGCCTACTAAAAAACGCGTTTTGTTTCTTTTCCTTCTTCAAAATCCTCAAAGATGCTATATAATATCAATTACAGCTCCGAGTACAAAATAAAAGAAGATGAGAAAGTACTTGAGTAAATTCTTAAAGTTTGTCTGTTAAAGTGTTTAACGAAATAATGTTAATTTAGAAATCAAACAACAACAATCAGGGTTTGTATTCTTATTGTTTTTAATTTAACAAATACATGTAAGTAATTAGATACAAAATAACAGATTCTAATTGCCCAAAATTACGATTCCAATGAATACGATGGCTATGCTTTAAAAAATTGCTTAACTTAGTTCTTAAATTAACTCATTCAGAAATATTCAGCCTCTTCCTTTTTTTTTTTTTTTTTTTTTTTTTTTTTTTTCGTAATAAGTCGTTGACTTGACTTTAAAGCCTGCTTTCACTGGGTCAGAAGAGAAAATATGAATAACTTTGGTTCTGTAATAACTTCAATTTTGGAATATTTCTCTCAAATAACTTTTAAATTCCAAAACTTAGCGTACTCATGTGTTCTGAATAAGAATTGTTTGTATGATAGAGTTTTGTATCAATAAACAACTGATTATCAGTTTTATTAATACACTTTTTTGTAATCAGTGGAATCTTGACTATGCCTATCAGTTGCCAATGAATATGCATTCGGCTGTCAACCCATTCGAACTCTTGATCATCATTGACTTCGTTGCCCCCAAGGATCCATTCCAACTTGTACGGAACCTCTGATATATCACCTAACTGGACAATATCATAGCAGCAAATTATAAAATCAGAAATTATTTTACTTTAATTAGCAAACTCAACATAAGAATCACAACTATAGAGGATCATCACATTCTCAAAATTTAGAGAAATTTTTAAAACTCTTTTTAAGAGGCAAAAAGACGCCTCAGTTCACTTTGCACTGAAATTGGTAGCAAATGATACGTATATCTTTGAAAGATCTATACACACACAAAACTGAGATTACTGAAGATCATTTTTCCAATCCTACAAATGTTCAAAGCGAAATCTTCGTCTACGCAGTTTATCGAATGAATGAAAATCACGCTGCTATTTTCAGTCCATTATGTCACGGAATTCTGTAATCGTTAACAGTTTTTGCACGATATGTTTCTTTTTATATCCGTTCCAAGTAGTGCAAATTATGTACTTATTACATCAGATTCTTTTACTGAGACATAAATAACTGAAATTTTGGAAAAATTAACTTATAACTACCACACAGTTACAATTTTCTCTGTAGAGGTTTGTATTCAGCAACTGAATAATTAAACATTTTAGTTTATTTCACGTTGATACATGTCATGAATTTTAAGATGCACATATTACGCTTAAAAGTATATCTTACATAAATAATGGAAGTAATGGGTCACATATATGTGACTGTGTTCAGTGAAAGTACATACACATTATTATTTTACAATTACACAAAAATTATGATTTCTCAACTTTCTCAGTGAGTCTCTTCCCAAGATTTCATAGAAAATACGTGAAAATTCTTGATAAAATTTTTAAGGAATTTTCTCCATCCTTTTCGTGAACTTTGCACTTAATTGGGAGCCCGTCCAACCAGTAGTTGGGATGTCCGCAGTTCGAATCCCAGAGAAGACATAGTTGATTGTCTCATTTTCCTGTTCTAAAATCTCAAAATACTCTGTAAATTGTCGTGTAAAAAAAGTAAAATGCAAATTTGTCTCAAGCCAATTATTAAAGAAAGATAATCATATCAACGTAAAACAACTGTGCAATTTATAAGAGTAAACAGCCTTTTATAGGTTAAACTTTCAAAGTTGAGTTAGTTAAAGTTCATATAATGACATAGGAATGATTACCTACCTGTTAGCGACACGGCTGTAAAAGTTGTCAAGTGAAAAAAGCATTAACCAGGGAACGAATGCAGACGAAAGTTTATTGATATTCGCAAGCACAGAAAAAATATTTTAGTTTGAATTTATATTCTGAAAAGTAATGCAACTAAGCATTTTAATATATGATATTGTGAAGAAATTACTTTTAAAACCGATTTTGTTTTAAGCATTTACAAAATTAAATTACTTGCTATGCTAGCTTATGCAGCACGCAATAACGAACTTTATACATGAAAAATAAAATAAATTCCAGAAAATCCGCATTCTCTCCCATCGAAATTCTTTTGAAGTTGAATCCTTTCCATCATTAAAACAATAACTATCTTGTGCTTTCAATGCGCATTTGTTAGATTCCATAAAATACATAATTGTGATTTTGAGACACACTTTTTAAAATTTTTTCGGGTGTGCGTTACTAATTAGCTTTCTCCTTTTCAGGAGCAATTATTTCGAAACTATGTTTAAGTTCCAAACTATGTCTGAAAGTGACTTTGAAAGGAAATTTATTTTTCTGGAGATAAAAATACAAAATTTAAGTCTTTCTTTAAAAAAGAGAAAAGTCATCTGACATCGAAAAAAGTCTAGATTTAAACGAGGAAACAGTCAGAAGCATTAAAACATATTTTATTCTTTAAAGATTTAGAACCCCTTTTTCCATTTTATATTAGTTTTTAGTCTCTTGTACCACGGTATTTTCTAGGAACCTAACCACCGTGAAATAATAGGAATACCTGTACTTAAAAAATAAAGTAGGCTACAAGAAGTAATGCCCGTTAGATTTTACGGTAACAACAACATGAAAAATATTATACTCCTTTTAAGAAACATTTTAAAAATGGCACAGTAACATTTTTCTGAAATTTTTCTGAGAGGCTTCAAAAAGCTTCAGGCGCTGAAGAAGAGGGTCCTCGAAATCGATAGTTTTTATTAAAAATATAAGCCAATTTAATGTTACCTTTTACTTGGGGCTTGAGAATTATTTTAAAATTTACAGTGCGCTGCGTCTCTTCCAATTAAATAGAATTTTGGTTTGAAAAATTAATTTCAGTACAATATTTCATGTAATTTCGTCTAGGCGATGTAAAAAGTGTATTCAATGCAGTCCTTCAGTACTTACAGAATTTATTTTCGGAATTTTGCTTACAACCTTTAAACTTTATAACCAAATTTTTCTACTTTTATAATGCAAAACGATTTTTTATAATTTTTAATTCGATTTTTGACTTATATGAAAAATCTTGCATTTTCTGCTTTTTCGCTTTAATTTTGATGCCAATGAAAGCATTAATTCAAAGGAATCTTTTAAAAAATAATCTGCATTTTCTGGATTTTTTTTCTCTGCTTGAATTCTTTGACTCTGTTCTATACATTGACAAAAATTATTCTTTTCTGCAATTGCGGTAAACTAATAGGAAATTCACCTCGGATGAAATGGAATAATTCAAGAAATCAAACATACGGCACATTAATGTATCTAGGATTTATGTCTGATAAATATCTTGGATCTTCATCTGATGGAGATAAGAAATACAGTACAGATTTTAATCTTAATAGAACTATGCCGTATTTATTTCGGGTAAGAGGTAAAATAATAAAAAAATCTTCAATTTAAAAGTAGCAGAAATATTGGCACTACTCGAATATACCATTTTGTGAAAATGAAACCATACAATTAAGGTCTCTGATAAATTGCAAAAAGTTTAAAGCATCTCTAATATTAAGCATCTCTAAAGCATTCTATTCAGTACCAAGCATGGCATTACAGGTTACTATTTCGGTACCATTATATCTCAAAACTAATCTGAAATAAAAAAAAATTCTAACTCAAACACTATGAAGAAAACGTGAAAATAAAAGGTAGCGTTATAACAAATGTACTTAATGGAAGAGAACATTTCACTGCTTAGGCATCAACTTACATCGTCTTTTAATGTTCAGTCTCACTTTGCCTAGCGCATGTAGTAT